AACAACAACAACAACAACAACAACAAACAACTCAATGGGAATTATTAAGTAGAATGAAATATTTACAAATAGAAGAAGGGTAAAAATTGTGTTTGTATTAACTCAGAGGTGACCACAGGCTAGGGGGGAAAATTACACAGCCTCTTTGGTAGTTTCAAAAGATTATACCTGTACACATAAGAAAGCTCTTATGGAAACATCATTAAACATTTATTGTTAAAAGTGTTCTAGATAGTTTTTAGTCTTTAAGGATGATTAATACTTATAAATATTCACAGACAGTACAAATAGGAGGAATAGGAGAGTTGCAACGAGCCTCTTTTTTTTTCAGCCACTTTGCTTTTAAAACAGGAAAAAAGCTTCCCACTGTCATCCCTATTTTATTAACATTTGAAAATTCTAGCCATGGTTCTCCCCAACAGGAAGGAATCATAATGTTGACTAGTCATAGTCTAAGCATTTAATTTACATTTACGAAACCTGAAAAACCAAGTCAAAACAAAAATCAAATGCTGACAAAGACTAGGGTACAGTATTATAGAAACAATATTGGACAAACCCACTAAAGTGCAAGCTACCTAATGAAATTTGTCTACTTCCATTTGTTCCTTCCTAACTTTTATTTTTTATTTGTATTTCTGCATCTTTATACTTTTACCATAGGTGTTCCATCTGGTCTCCAAGTGAAGAGAGCTCCTATACCAACACTTGTATATAAAATGCAGAGCCGTATGCTCCAACGCAGTACTCTCAATATAGCTCTCCAATGAGATAAAGATTTTTTATCTGTGCTCAAAAATGCAGGAGTCCCTAGCCACATGTAATACAATACTTGAAACAGGGCTCTCATAACTGAGATAGCAAATTTTAAATTTTACTTAATTTTAATTTGAACATAAATAAATAGCTACATATGGCTAGTATGAACAATACTGGACAGCAGAGCTCAGGAGAGATTTATAGATGACTTTAGTAACTGGAGGACAGCTGGCTTATCTGTCCAGCTGGACTGGAAGAGATCCATATTTATTCTCATTCACCCCAAAATAGGTGGTCCCACAGAATGTGGAAATTATCAAACAATATTAATATCATATGTAAGTGAAATCTTGCTGAGGGTTATCCAAAACCAGCTAGACCAGTATATTGCTGATATCAGATGGATCTTGGCTACAAGGAGAGTACCAGAAGGATGTCTATTTGAGTTCTATCAACTATACAAAAGCATTTGAGTCTGTGGATCACAACAGATTGTGACTAACATTGAGAAGAATGGGAATTTTAGAATCCTTAATTGTGCTCATGCGAAACCTATATATAAACCAAGAACTACTGTCTGAACACAGCAAGGGAACATTGATTTCATGGTTTAAAATAAAGAAAGGAGTGTGTCAAGGTTGTGTCCTTGGTACATACTTTTCAATCTGTATTTTGAGCAGATCATTTGAGAAACTGGATTTTATAAAGTATTAGGATTAGAGGAAGAATCATAAATAACCAGCGTGATGCAGATTACCTTTCTTATAGTTGCCATTACTAAAGAATCGAAGATACAAACTTACTGTCTCATGCCGACCAATTTTTGCTTTCTCGATACTTTTTTGTAGGTTTTCATGCTTTTGGCTTCCTTCAGACAACTAGAATATTAAAAAAAAACACAAATAAAATGGCTTGTTGAGACAAACTTCTTCACCAGGAGATTTGTATTCTGGTGAGATCACCAAAACAAAACAAAAAAAAACCTGAAGGTTTACAATGAAAGCTTTTATAAATGAAAAAAAAAGAAGGGATAACTTTTGCATTTCAGTCACCAATTATAATTAATGCATCTGGATTGCATGTTGAGTAATTTCAGACCGCAAAGATAGTAGAAATTTTTCAGTTCTTCATCTTTGACTTTAGCAATAGATGCATATATCTGAACAACAGTACTGGCAAAAAACTGTTAGTAAAGTGGTAGTTGGAAGAAAACTCCCGAGGTATTATAATGGACACAGAATCCATATTCAATAAGCTCGGCTAACATTAAATAGGCTAGACTCAAAAAGAAAAACATTAAGATAGATCATACTCAAATTTTCCAAAATCGAAGATAAGGACAGAGTGCACCAGTCCACACTCTATACTGTGTGAAGACTACCTCCTGTCCCTGTGGCAGCAGTACCAGTATCACTGGTACTAGGGCAGCTGAAGGAAGTCTCTGTCTTGCTGAACTGAGACGGCCAAGGAATTGGCAGTCTTAATTCAACACTAAGTTCTTGTTTGGCTCCTGCCAGGAATGCACTCTCACCTGGAACACTGGACTGTTCCACCAAGTAGAAACAGCGCTCCATTCCACTGTCCTGAACCAGGAGCACCAATATCATAGGTGAAGTAATCTCCTTTCTGAACACCTCGTGGTCCCTCCCAGACGCTGTATTTGAGCAGGGTCTCTTTGGACTCCGGCTAGCTGTGGCAGCTGCCTGGGCTAGTTTGGCTGCTAACTCACAGGTCATCTCTCTCCCTAGCTTAAGCAAGTCATCCCTTGCATCAAAGGATCAGAGGGAGAGAAAATCAGGTAGGGTAAGCATCCCTTCCCTCCTCTGGAGCAATAAGCTCCTGAACCAAGGTTATCAAACCAAGGGATTGCTAAGGCCCTAGGCACAAAAAATTACCGAAGCAACGACACAGAAGAAGCAGACTACCTCATAATGTACACAAAATCAAAACAAGACATCACCAAAAAAAGGGATTAAAACACAGAATCATTGAATTCCCTGAAGCCAGAAAGTCTGATGGAAATTTCCAACTAATAATTCAAAAGAACAATGACTGAATATTTTCAATGAGTGAAAGACAAACTCGTAGAATGACAGAACTCTACAAGCAAACGCCAAGAGGAACTTAAAAAAAACCACCACAACAAAAAAAACCAGCAAAACCAACAAATCAAATCCAAGACAATGCAGATAAAACAAACAAGGCATTAAAGGCTCTGGAAACACAAGAAACAACAATCCAGGATATGAAGACCAATATTTCAGGTGCTGTCAACATGTTGGAGGGACATACAAGTAGAGCTAAAGAGATGGAACACAGAACCAGTGAAACAGAAGATAGAATTCTCAGCACTGATTTGCTAGAACAAAAAGCAGAACCAACAAGGAGGAAAAAGAAAGACTAAGAATAATGTTCAAGTTGCTCTGAAGGAATTGGCAAAAAAACAAGGCTACAGGAGTTGACAGCATACCAACGGATTTATTTCAACAGATGCTGCACTGGATGTGCTGACTAAGTTGTGCCAGGAAAGCCAGCTGGTCAACTGACTGGAAAAGATCGATATTTGTTCCCATTCCAAAGAAAGGTAACACACAGAGTGTGGAAATTATTGAACAAGATCACATGCAAGCAAGATTCTGTTGAAAAGGATCCAAAAACATTTGGAACAATATGTCAACAGAGAACTGCCAGATGTGCAGGCTGGATTTAGAAGAGATCGTGGTACTAGGGATATTATAGCTAATGTCAGATGGATCTTGGCAGAAAGCAGAGAATACCAGAAGAATGTCTATCTGTGCTTCATTGACTTTGCAAAG